CGGCGGCTGCCGTTGCACCCCTCCACCCGCCCCGCGCAGCCGTTCCTCCCGCCAGACAGCCGCAGGTGGGTGCCTGGGACACGGCACATGGCACCAGGTCAGGGTCCCACCAGCCCGGCTCCCATGGTCCCCACCTCCCAGGCCCTTTTGGACATTTGGCCACAGTGACGATGAGCTCGGGTGGTGCAGACCTGAAGGGACCAGGGGAGGGCAGTGGCTGAGCAAAGACCCCGGACGTGCAGAAGGCAGATGCACAATGAGTAGGGACCTGCTGGGAGGGGTCCATGGGAGCTGCCTGGTGGTCCTGGGGGCAGTTCGGGGCACTGGGGTATTTTTAGAAAACCCGTTTTCACACCTTGAACGTGGCCCATCCCCTGAGAGGGACAACTCATGCACCCTGGAGATGTTTGAGTCCACGGGACCTGACAGGGTGCCTGCAAGGGTGCTGGTCACCTTGGCTTGACGTTGCAAAGCCACCACCATGCCCTGGCATCAACCTGCATCCTGAGCTCTCCTGGCAGGCATACGGGATCAAGGGAAGGGATTACTCCCATCCACTTGGCACTTGCTAGCCCAGAGCCGGGAGCCGCGAGGTGGCTGCCAGAGCAGGGCTCGGACCCATCACCACTGCAGCTGCCCTTCTGCAGCAGCTCAGCTCCTCCCTGGCAGCAGCCCCCAAACCCCATGGCCCCTCACCACGGGCAGAGGGGAGCAGCAGCCCTGCGCCGGGCAGGCGCAGACCAGCATGTCCCCCCTCTTCTCCTCTTGTGCCAGGCTGGGGCTTGCTGCAAGGCTGGGAATAAACTGGGTGGGCAGGAATTACCTGTTGTGTATGGCCATTCAGGAGGAGGCGTTGGACGTGCAGCTGCAAGGAAGAAGATGGAGTGAATGAAAGGGCAGCGAATGCAGCAGGCTTGTGGCAGTGGATGGACATGGACATGGACATGGAAATGGACATGGAAATGGAAATGCAAGGCTGGAGGACTAATGGGGGAAGAGACAGTGGGGCTCTGTCCTGCCATTCCCCCTCCAGACACCAGCCTGACATGTTCCCAGTGCTGCCCCATCCTCACCATGCTTGATCCCGCAATCCTGCTCTGTGTCAACGCACCGAGCACCTACACCTGTGAGCGTGGAGAGCCTGCTGTGCCCTCTGTGTGCGAAAACGGGGCTTTTGCATGACACAAAAGCATCAGGCAGCAAAAGCCCCCAACCTTGCTGCTCCGCATCGGCTCTATGAGGGAGGTAAGCATGGCTGCTGCCAAGGGAGGGCACCGAAACCAGCCTGGTGGGATCTGCGGGAAAGGCGGTGGCCTCTGCTGCCCACGCACCTGCAC